ACTCAACCTCATATCCAACCCCACAACCATTTTCAATACATCCATTGAAAACCCCTCTTTTGATTTTAAACCAAAACCCTAGGTTTGTTCAAAATCCTCCAAAATCACAAGATTGTTTCATAAAAACAAATAGCTAAGTTAAAAATCATAAAATAGTATAGAAAATCCCTACCTCGAAGCTAGAAAACCAAGGGGAGAGTGGAGAAACCTCAACGAAGTCGAAATCCAACTCTATTCGGATGAAAACGAAGATCTAGATGAGCCCTACCTTTTTAACAAAGGGAGTATGGTGTAGTTTTTTCCATATGCATATACAAGGGCTGGTCTTTCTTCGAACTGAGCAAATAAATATAGATTCGATCTGCTCTTACTAACAAGAGTGTCTTTCGCCATCTTGGTGTATTTATAGAGAAAGTGTAAGTTCTAGAGAGAGAAGGTTTAGATTTAGGGTTTTGAATGTTTAGAGAGAGAGAGAGATGAAATAGTGACTTTTACGAACTGATATATGCACAGTTCGCTTGAGCGCAAGAAGTGATGCTCGAGCGTTCAGATACAATAAGTTTTACTGCTTGAGCGGAAGAAGTGACGCTCGAGTGTGGATTACACACTCTCGGTAGTTTTACAGACAGAAGACCATCGCTCGAGTGCAAGAATGGCCGACCATCGCTCGAGTGCAAGAATGGCCGCTCGAGCACACGACCGCTCGAGCGTAGGAAACACCTCTCGAGTGTTGAATACACTCTCCTAGTAGTTTTGCAGGCATGCAAAAGTACTGAGAGTTCTAAAGGCCGCTCGAGCGCAAGAAGTGACGCTCGAGCATAAGAGCAAAATTCTTGGCAACAAGGTTTTTGAAAAACAATGTACCAACCTGTTCCAAACATAACCAACACATCCCAATAGCCAATCAAGAGGGAAAATAGGAATAAGACAAGAGCAACAATACAAAACCAAGAAACCCAAATCCAGAATATCAAATGAGTAGGGTCTTAAACCATAATCGCTATAATTACTCAGAAATAATACCTCTATGAAAGTGGTTTTCTCCAAAATAACTCTCAAAATTCCATCCAAAGAAAAAAGCAAAATAGAAAATTGAAACACAAAGCAAGGAAAAATAGGAATCAAAATACAAGCCATATCTATATATTATATAAGCAAAATGGGGTTTTTAGTGAGAAGCCTTATGAGAGTTTCAATATCTAATACTAATTTTCTTGATTTTCTTAATTTTAAACAATTAAGAAAATCTTTATTAGTTAGCTTCCATTTAACTTTTATTTTGCAATCTCAAATCGAGAAAAGAAGGAAAATGTGAATTGTTTTACTTACATAAAGTGAAGGAAAAAGTGAATTGTTTCATTTACATAAAGTGAATCTTATGTTATCATTTATATAAGCAAAATGAGATTTTTAGTGAGAAGCCTTATAAAAGCTTCAATATCTCATACTAATTTTCTTGATTTTCTTAATGTTAAAAAATTAAGAAATCCCCATGGGTTAGCTTCTATTTAACTTTTATTTTACATCCTATATTGGGGGGGGGGGGGAAATGATTGTTTCACTTATATAAAGTGAATCTTATGCTCCCATTTAATATTGTTGTATTGTGCATGCTTCAGTTCATGACAGTTTAAAATTTAATAAAATAAAATTAAAAAGTTTTAATTAATTAATTTTTGTGTAAGCTGGTTGGTTTTTTGACCTAGCTGATTAAGTTGAGCCTTTTTCAGTTTGAATAATTTGCTGGTTTAACCATGATTTTAGCAGTTTTATCAAAATATATTGATTAGATTTGTTTGATTCGAAATAAACTAAAGATTGACCTAAAAAAAGATTAAATGGCTGAGATTGCTTAATTAGAAATAAACTTCTCACCCAAACAATTGTTAACTTTTATTTTACAATCCCATATGGGGAAAAGAAAAGAAAAAGTGAGTTGTTTCACTTATATAAAGTGAATCTTATACTTCCATTTAATATTGTAGTATTGTGCATGTTTTAATTCAAGACAGTTTAAATTTTAAAATAAAATTTAAAAGTTTTATTTAATTAATTTTGTTGTAAATTGGTTAGTCTTTTAACCTAACTGATTAGGTTGAATCATTTTCGTTTTGACTAATTCACTAGTTTAACTATGATTTTAGCAGTTTTATCAAAATATATTAGTTGGATTTGTTTGATTTGAAATAAACTAAAGATAGACCTGCTTAAAAATTGAACGACTGAGATTGCTTGATTAGAAATGAACTTCTTGTCCAAACAATTGTTAACTTTTATTTTACAATCCCACATCAGAAAAAGAAGGAAAAAATGAGTTGTTTTACTATATAAATCTCATGCTCCCATTTAATATTGTAGTGTTATGTATGTTTCAGTTCAAGACAATTTGAATTTTAAAATTAAAATAAAATTTAAAAGTTTTAATTAATTAATTTTTGTATAAGTTGGTTGGTCTTTTGCCCTAGCCAATAGGCTGAACCGTTTTTGGTTTAACTGATTCGCTAGTTTAACTGCAATTTTAACAATTTTATCATAATATATTAGTTAGATTTGTTTGATTCGAAATAAACTAAAGATTGACCTAGTTAAAGATTAAACGACTGAGATTGCTTGATTCGAAATAAACTTCTAGCCTAAACAATTTTTAACTTTTATTTACACAATCTTACATCGGGAAAAGAAGGAAAAAAAATGAGTTATTTCATTTATATAAAGTGAACCTTATGCCCCTATTTAATATTGTAATGTTATGCATTTTCAATTAAAGTCGGTTTAAATTTTCATACTCCCTCCATCCTAAAATATTAGTCCCTTATTCCATTTTTCATTATCCCAAAATATTAGTCCCTTTTAAAAAATTAATGACTAAAATAATATGAATTTTTTATTTTGCCATTCATTTAAATTTATTAATAATACAAAAAATACAATTATGACAATTAATATTCTCAAAAAAATATACTATCAAAGGGTAATTTTGAAAAATCAATATTTTTAAGGGTGAAGCACCAATAGATTTCAAAATGTGATCTTGTGAATTATTTAGTCCTCCCTTTTTTCCAATGAACTCAAAAGTCCAATTAAAGTGAAAATTATACAAAAGTGTAGTCACTTCCATGTTTGGGTTTAATTTTTCAAGGATAAAAGTGAGTTTCTCTAAATATAAAATTACACATTTGGGCAATCCACATTATAGAAGTTTTGGATTTTCCCTCATTTTGGAACAAATCCCACATTATGAACAAAAATGTAACACTCTAATAACGTAACACTCTAATAACGTAACACTCCAATGTAACATATTAAAAAATTCTTGGTGTATTTTTCCCAAATGTAACAACGTAACATTAAAAAAAAACTCCTTAATGTACTTTTCCCAAACGTAACACTCTAATGTAACCAAAAAAAAAAAAAAACTCCTTAGTATATTTTTTCCAAACATAACACTCCAATATAACATATTCAATTGTAACACATACAAAAATACTAAAAACTCCTTAACGTACTTTTTTCAAACGTAACACTCACAATTTGAAATTATACATTCGCCCAAAACTTACTAAGGAATTTTTTGTACTTCTTTTGGAATAGTTTGAAGAATCTCACATCTTTTTTTTGGAGTTTTACGTTTGAGAAAAGTATACTAAAGAGTTTTTTTTGGAGTGTTATATCGGAGTGTTACGTTTGGAAAAAGTACACTAAGAAATTTTTGTATGTGTTACATTAGAGTGCTACACTAAGGAGTTTTTTTTTTTTTTGAAGTGTTATATTAGAGAAAAGTACACTAATTTCTTTTCTTTTTTTTTTCTTTTTTGTGTTACATTAGAGTGTTACACTAAGAAATTTTTTTAAAATGTTATATTGGAGTGTTATGTTTGGGAAAAATACACTAAGGATTTTTTTTAGAGTGTTACATTGAAGTGTTACGCTTGAGTGTTATATTGGAGTGTTATAGTTTGAAATTATACATTTGTCCAAAACTTATTAAGGAGTTTTTATACCCCTTTTGAAATGTTTGAAAAATCTCACATCTTTTTGGAATGTTTGAAGAATCTCATATTTCAAGTCTTTTTTATACTACTTTTGAAATGTTTTTCAAATAAAAAAGATTCTTATACAAAAATTAATCCCAAATTTGATTCTCGTAGATTGTGTACCTTACATTTCTAGCACAAAAGGAAAAAAAAGGTAATATAATAGGAATAAGGATATAATCGTAAATCTAATTTTTAAATAATATATTAAATCTACCTTTTCAAAATTAATGGGATTAATTGGTCTATAAAAAAATTCTTAGAACTAAATGGATCACCATTTCTCAAAATGGGATTTATAGATAAATTTTCCTATTTTTAAAGTGCAATAATTGTACTACAAAAAAAAAGTTGGAGTATAAAATAAAATTTAAAAGTTTTAATTAATTAATTTTTGTGTAAGTTGGTTAGTTTTTTAACCAATTTTAGCGATTTTATCAAAATATATGTTATTTTATGAGAAAATTAGTCTAAGGTCCATTTTCCATTTTTAGTAATGGAAGAGATCCACAATATTATTTTTTGATGTCCAAGGTCTCTAAACCCACACCCACCTATCACAGAAAAATTTGATATATCTTATGCTCTCTATCTCTGTCTCCTGTTGCTCTTCTCTCTCTCTCTCTCTCGCCGATCTCAAAGACGAGATCGCTTCGTTCTTGTCTTGATCATACAACTCGAAGGCATTCTTTAGCCCTGCACTCTTGGAGACTGATGAAGCCATCAAGGTCGGTGTTAAGCTCCTCCATTAACTACTTTCTTATTAATGATTATTATTTATTTTGGTCCAGGTTCACTGTACCTTAGCATCTTCCCAACGTAACAATGGGGCTTCAGTTGAGTAGTTGCTTCAAAATCAATCCTACTTTTTTCGATTTTGTTGTGAAATTGTAGCATCATAATCAAAATCCATTTGTTTTTGTTTTTGTTTATTTTCTCTTTCACAATCTCTCTCTATCTATTTCAATGGCGATTTCGGATGAATCTGCAGCAGATTCCAAAATTTCGCCGCCAAATACATTTGGATCCGTCGTAATCGAAGGCACCTTCGACCGATTACACGACGGTCACTGCCTTTTCCTCAAAGTTCTCTTCTCTCTCTCTCTCTCTCTCTCTCTGTATATATATATATCTGAAAATGTATCTAATTAAGTTGGTACCTACAGAAAGCAGCGGAATTGGCTAGGGATCGCATTGTGGTTGGAGTTTGTGATGGACCCATGTTGACTAAGAAACATGTATTTTAAACATCTTTGTGCTCTATGCGAATCCATGCTTGTTGATTACTAACTGGGTGATTACTATAAATTGCTAATTGCTTCACTTCACAATTTTCTCCGGATAGAGCCACACAAAGCCACACAAATTTTCTCTAACACAATTTTCTATGGATACAGCCACACAAATCCACACAAATTTTGTCTAACACAATTTTTTCTTACAAAATTTTCTCTGGATAGAGCCACACAAAGCCACACAAATTTTCTCTATACAAATTTTCTTTCCACAATTTCTTAGAGAAAATTTGTCCAGAGAAATTAAAAGCTTGTTATTACAATCCAGAGAAAATTATAATTATTACAAATTTCTCTGGACTTTTATGTTGTGTTTTTTGTGTTTTTATATTGAACAAGTTGTTTTTCGCCTATTTTTCTTGTGAGTTTCTTAGAACTCTTTGACCATTTATGGTTTATATAGCTTAATGCATGCTGTGTTGAAGAGCTTGAGAGAGAAGTGCTCTTGGAGAGATTGTTTGAAGATGATCAAGTCTGTTGAATTTCTCTAAGAAGTCCAGTCTAGAGAGTTTTGGATTCCCAGAATTTCTCTAGAGTTGTGGCTATGTTTTTTTCTCTTTTCTTTGAGCTGTTATTGACTCAAGTGAGATCATAAGTGGCTAGTTTGTAGTTTTTGTATCTGCTTATTGTCCAACTTATTGTAGAAGGGTCAAATTGAGCCATTGATGGGTGGAGTTGATACTGTTATTGCCTCATGCTACCTCTAGTTAATCATTTGTCTTGTTGTGCATTTATGTTGATACTATCAAAGTGTTGTTGCTTTTATGGCTTTCATGGTGCTAGTACAACTGCTTATTTGATATAGAAAGAAGATAATGATGATGACGATGACGATGACGATGGAGGCTATCAAAGAATTTCTTTGGAGTGGTTTAAATTTTCTCTAGATCAGGTAAGAACAAAGTAGAGAAATTTTGAATTTCTTTGGATTGGTTTGAATTTTCTCTGGATTAGGTAAGAATAAAGCAAAGAAATTTTGAATTTCTTTGGAGTGCTTTGAATTTTTTCTGGATCAGGTAAGAACAAAGTAGAGAAATTTTGAAGCCTTGTGAATGTACCTTGTAATAAATTACAGATTTATAGTCCAGAGAAATTCTCAATAATAATGAAGCCTTGTGAACCAGAATTTCTCTATGAAGTCCAGAGAAAATTCGACCAGAGAAAATCTCTGTGAACTAAAATTTCTCTGTGAAGTCCAGAGAAAATTCGTTCAGAGAAATTTTCTGGATCGATGTTGAGGGACCTTAGACATTATAAAAATATTGAGTGTCATTTATGTTATAAAATCTTAATATCAGGGACCTTTAAAAAAAAAATCCCCTATTTTATTTCTAAAATATATGTTTAAGTTTTATGACAAACTTTAACGTAGAATAAACTAAAACTATAAAATTTATAAAATGAAATGTATTTTCATTTCATCATAAATATAATTTTTTTTTAATTTATTCAATTTTTTTCATCTGTACCCATTAAATTATTACATCTATTTATTATTGTGAATTTAGAATATACAATTAATAATATAACAAGTGCAATATATATTCTAGTAAAATGATTAAAATTTAAATTATTTTAAATTATTTTTTATATTTTTTAAATAAATTTTATATTATTATTTAATTTTAAAATTATTTTTAATTATTTATTTAGTCCGTATATAGCACGAGATAGGAGAGATAGAGACAGAGAGAGAGGGAGAGAGAAGAAGGAGAAGAGCCAAAGCTGCCGCTGGGACCAAAGAAGACGTAGAGGAGCAGTCACCATAGCTCGAAGCAGGTAACTTCACTCTCTCTTCTGTTTGCCTTACCATCCCACCCTAAGAATTCTTTCCTTTCCTTTCGTCATCATGAAAAACCCTTTGGTTTTAAACCCTCAGTTTTATTTATTAAAATAAAAATAAAAATGGATTGATGAAACATTTTATTTAAATGATGTAAGGTTTATTTTGTCACTTTTTGATGGAAATGACCTTCTTTTAAGGTATGGAACATATAATTTTTTCATTTTTTTAATATAGGAAATGAAGAAATATTATTTGAAAGTGTAAGAACTGTTTTTGGTCTGCAACAAAGAATCTTATTTAGAGTTTTGAATAAATAGTTAATTATTTGCTATCATTTTAGTGATTGAGAGCCTTGACCCCATGCGGGATAGACATCTGTTTGAATTGAGCTCTTCTAGTGCACCTACTGTTATTATTATTATTTTTATTTTTGGGTGGCACTACAAAAAATTAAGGTTTTAAAGGCCAAAATTTGGGGACAAAATTGTTTTTTAGGACCAAATAATTTTGTTGCCGAAAGTGTCGTTGTCATATTTTTAGCAACAAAAATTGGACATTAGTGATGAATTATTATCCTTTTGGATCAACTTTTTTGTCTCAAAAAATAAACCATTTTGAGACCAAATTATTTTGTTCCTAAAAGTCTATTTATTAGTGACATTTTCAAAATTTTGTCGCTAAAAGTCTTGTTTTTAACTTTTTGGAGAGACCTTTTAGAGATTATCTTTATGACGATGAAAATTGGTCCCTAAATGTCTTTTGCGACAAAATTTTCACTTTTAGAGACCAAAATATTTGGTCTTTAAAACTTTTATATGTTGTAGTGTGGAAATAGATTTTTACCTGATTTGTTTAAAAGAAAAAAAAAATTGTCCAATAAAAGGAAGGATATTATACAATCCAGAGATTTATCAATGAGGTCTTGATTTTTTGAAATTTCTTATCAAAATGCTATTCAGGGAAACAGATAGATTTGAGATGAAAATCCACCAAAAACATAATTTGTCGATTGATGAATTTTTCTTTTATATGTTGTGCTTTAATTTTTGACTGGTAACCGGTGGGGTAGGTTAGTCTAACTTGGAACTTGTTGTATGTACACATATACTAGAGCAATTCAGTCACTTGGTAATTCCATTCTTCATTATACCAGTTTCATAATTTTAAAGGGTTGGGACTCGAAAGGGCTGAGAGACATGCCCCCTCAATCTTCAGGTAATGTTTCTACTTCATTGTCATTGCACCTTCTTGGGGGTGTACATTCTTTTCTTCAGTTCATCTTGGTCTAGATCCATGATCATTATTTGACTTACTGCTTTTTCCCTTTTTTTTTTTATTAGCTTATATTTATGAACAAAAGATTCTGGAAGTTTTATTTTGTTAACAGTTTCTAAAGTTTTGAAACATGAGTAAAATGTCTTCATAAGTTTTTCATTGTAATAAAACAGGCTTATTTGGAAGTTTTGATGGCATGTGTGGAGTCGGAAAAAAGAAAATAAGGTATGCTTTACTTCTCATTATGTTGTGTGTATTTTACTTATTCAAATGCATACTATTTTTATTTTGCAATTAAATGTTTAATTTTCATTTTAATTGTTCAATTAGTAGCTACTCTACTCTTGTAATAATGCTACGTATATTACATAGTAATTTCATAAATATTATTCTTTTTGAAAAATGAAAAATCCTTTTAATTGATTGATTGTGTAACTCATGTAGTGGTTTGGTTGTTATTTTCTTAAGAACGATTGGTTCTTGCACATCATAGGCCAGAAAACTTAAGCAAAAATTATAATCAGAATTTTAATTGTAAGATGTATATCTATATAACAAAACACCACATTTTTTTGAAAATGTCTTTAAACTATATTATACATAGTGCGTAGGGGAAAATTAGGATTGGGAGTTGTGCAACCGTACTTTTTGACTTTTGGTGAATAGTGATAACTTTTTAACTTTTTAAGTAGCTTTTTGACTTTTTGGCTTTTTTTTCAACTTGCCAAACTTGGCCTTAGTTTTAATAGTTTAGATTAATTTGTCTTCTATTTTATAGTCAAGATCATTAGCTAACCTTTACTTTCCCTTCCAAAGATGTGTCATAGGTGACCACTTCATCGATAGGGCATTGCTAGACTTAGGTGCTAGTGTCAACTTGTTGCCTTACCAACAATTGGAAAAACAACAGATAAAAGAATTGCTAACAATAACGGAAACAAGCTCTACCCTCTAGTCACTTAGTAATTATTGGCATTTGGAAGTGAGCTAGGGACCCTAGGCTCTAATGAGATTGGCATTCAGCTTAGGAGGATGTGCCCCATTTAAGGCGTTACCTAGGCACTACAACAAAATGCACCTTTGGCCACCAAATTTGGAGACAAACATTTTTGATCGCCAAAAGTCGGACCTTTGGCGACTAATTTTCATATTGGTCGGCAATGTTGTGAATTTTAGTTACTATTATTTTTTTAGTAGCCATATAATAGTTACTGGCTACTAAAACAAAATTTAGTAGCTAAAAATATGCACAATAGGCAACTAAAAAGTTTTTTTGTCGGTGTTTGTCGAAATTTTGGGCTACTAATTCTGCTTTTAGTCGGCGTACACTGTCTTTTGCCGACCAAAAAAATTTCGTCGCTAAAAAATGGGGTTATTTATTCGGGAACTCTTGCGCGACTAAATAATTTAGTCGTTGATTAATTAGTCTTGCCGACAAAATAAATATTTAGTCGCTAAAGGTAGGAAATTTGTTCTGGAGGGAAGCGTAAATATTGGCGCCCTCCCCTTTGTTTCACACACAAAAACACAGACCACTCACAAAAACACAGACCACTCAACACCAAACCTGATGCCAACTCCACCGTCGTAGGTCGTCAGCGCCACTGCCACCGCTGGAAATCACCACCGCCACTACTGCAAATCACAGGTTTTTGTCTCTCTCTCTGTCGCTCTTGGTCTTCTCCCTCTCTGTCAATCTCGGTCTTCTCCCTCTCAAGCCATCTCTCTATTTCTCTCTCTCTCTCCCTTCCCGTATGTCCCCATCTCTCACACTTCATCTAGGGTATATTTTTGTGTTGATTTTGTAAATGGGTTTCGTAAGACATTCGCTTTGCTTCGTCAATTAGAAGAAATAAAAATTAGGGACCAAAAAAGAAAAACCCTGAATACCCAAACAACGATAAACCCTTCTCTCTCTCTCTCTCTCTCTCTCTCTCTGTGGACATTGAAGCTCAATGCTTCTCGAATTCGAGTGCTCAATCCACAATTTTGCTTAATTTCACTCGCATTTTACTTTTATCTGTCAGATGCCATCTTCATATTGCTTTATACATACATTTATTAACCACATATACATATACCCTGCTATATATATATATATATATATGCATGTGTGTGTTTATATTTGTTCACAGTTGAAATTGTTACAAAATGGTATAGCTACCTAACTTTCCATGATTATCATAAACAGTAATGAAGGAATGTAAAAAATAATATGATCAAAATTAGTAAAGGCTGACTTAGATGTGTGGTTGAATCTTTAGGAAAGACTGATAAAACAGTTCTTGCCTCGTTATTTTGTTAATCCATAACTCATTGATTCTCTAAGGTTTTCCTTGGATATTGCATTAATGGAGGAATTCGTGGAGGGGAAAGAAAAGGAAAGCATCCTTTTTTTTTTCCTCCACTTTTCTCTTCGGTTTTCTTTTTCCACCTCAAATCACGTCACAAATTTATGATCCAAAAACAACATAACTGTTTTACAATGAGAAGGAAAGAGGAATTTTTTTTTGGCAGGAATAGCAGTGTTGAATTGGAAAAAAAGAAATGGAACTTGCAACAAGTAATATGTTTCTCGCAAATGATGATCTTAATATACAAAAATGCTTCGTGAAGGTGCTATGAGGAAGCATTTTTCTTTTCTTTCCTTTCCTTTCCTTTCCTTTGTGTATTTGTGTGTGTGTTCTGTTGCCATTCTGTTTATATAAAATATTTAGATTGGGTATTACATTTGTATAGATGTGCATGTGCACACACACTAGTACACATTTCTATATGCACCATTAGATATAATTGAATTGATATTGCCTACTCCTTTAAAGCCTTAATTTAACACTAGGCCAAGATGATCATGTTGAATGTAGTTGTTTGACTGATTAATTAAAATAGAGGGTTCAAGATAATATGATATGATCTTGTGTGATGCCAAACGTTAGTGTTGGATCTATGAGAGTGGTTGTTGCATGTATTTTTGTAATTCACACATACACAAAATATTTGATGGCATTGAATATGATAGGACATGGTATTGTGTAACAGTGGAATTGGATGTTGGAGATGGATAAAGGTTATCTTGTTGCAAAAGAAAGGATAAAGAGCAATGATATGGTTGATGTCAATTACAAATATGTAAATCATATATACAAGTACATACACAAAGATATCAACACATATGAACCCATGACATACAAAAAAATTTAGAATGAAATTTAAACAAAAATATAGGTGGTGTTTGTTTTGAGGGATTGAGACATGGGATTGGATTAATAGTCCCTCCGGACTAGTAGTCCATTGTTTGTTTCAAAATTTTTAATAATTTGGAGGTACAACTTAAACTTACACTCCTCTATATTTGTGGGGGGTTTTTTTTTTTCTCAACCTTCACTCAATTGTGATTTCTCCAAAAATAATTATCTAAAAGTTGATAAAGGCAGTATCTTTACCAAAGATGCATGGTTTGTCCGATGTTTGTGGCATAGATGACAGTGAAATAAATCACTTGTCCTTGGTGTTGGAACTATGGTTGTTAGAGATGAAATTCATGTGACAGTCTCTAAAGGTTCGTTGGGTAGATAGATGGTTTGGTTGAGAGTTTGTTGGGAAAATGCAAAGATTGAGAATTTCATTTGCATCGACAATGATTTATCAAAGGTAGTGAGCCATTTTTTTTTTATCAAATTAGTCCCTCCGGACTATGATGTCCCATTGGGGGGGGGGGGACACATATGGGCGGGATAAGGGAGGAGATGGGATTAGGTGGTTAAATGACCATTTTGACCCTCTGCTATTTAATTATGTATTACATTTAGTAAAATTCAATAAAATTTAAATGTCTCAATTTAAAAATAATTAAAATATTAAAGCTATGTTTAATATTGCTATTACTTGGTAAATAATTGAAAAGGGTAAAATAGTCTTAATTTGAGTAGACGTATGTCTTTCGAATTCAAATATGAATTTAAGAAATTTTGGGACCTTTGTATGGTCGGTCTATTATGCATCTGGTTTAGAATTTGAATAGGACAAATAGGACCTTCTACTATCCACAAATCTTGCATATTGTGGATTTTCCATGATTGAGTAATTTTCTATGTGTTGTCCATTCCCATGTTCATCTTTGCTTGGTTTGTAGGGTTCGAAAGATGGACAAGAGTTGGAAGATGATCAAAGATAGGTTGAAAAGTAAAGAGCATCAACGAGGTGTTCAGTCATTTATTGAGTTTGCTACGAAGAATTTAGGGCCACAGGATGAAATTCGTTGTCTGTGTGTCGATTGCTTGAACGGCACAAAATTTGGTCGACAAGTACGGTTGCACTTAATTTGAAGAGGAATCGCGTGTTCTTATCGAACTTGGGTGCACCATGGGGAACATGTTCCCATCTGTCGTGATCAGCCTATTGTGTCAAACAATGATACTGAAAGCAATGGAGCTGGACTGACAGCCAATCACGATAATTTGGGTGAACTGTCTATTATGTTAGAAGAGATTTACATGAGTGGTCTTATGGATGATCATATCGACGAAGAACGTAATAGTTTGGAGATGCACAATTTATTGAAGTTCACTAAGTTGTTCGATGATGCTCAATGATGCTCAACGCCAAGTATATCCGGAGTGTGAAAAGTTCTCCATCTTGTCCTTCGTTATTAAGATGCTTCACGTCAAGGTGTACAATAAATGGAGTAACAAATCGGTCGATATGGTTATGCAAGTTTTCAAAGACATTCTACTAAAGTGTGATGAAACTGTTCCATGGATCATTTATAAAGTGAAAAAGTTCTTACGTGAATTGGGTTTGGGATATGAGATCATTCATGCATGTAAGAATGATTGTACTTTATTTTGGAAGGACAACGCAAAATTGGAGAATTGCCCTACATGTAAGGAGTCTAGATACAAGTTGAACGACAAGACGGGTAAAAAAATTCGTCACAAAATATTAAGGTACTTTCCTTTGACACCAAGGTTGAAGGGATTGAACATGTCGAAAAAAACAGCCGCAAATATGAGATGGCATAAAGATAAACGTGTGGATGATAGAGTGTTACGACATGCAGCTGATGGTGAGGCATGAAAAGACTTTGATAGGCAACATCCTACATTTTCTATAGATCCTCGGAATGTAAGGCTAGGACTTGCCATGGATGGTTTCAATCCATTTGAAAATATGAGTACATCGTACTACATGTGGCCCGTAATCTTAATGCCTTACAATCTTTCCCC